ACATTTGTCAAAACACAGAGGGGGTCTCCTCTCTAGAGAGGACCACCTCTCTACTGCGGGCCTCCTCTTTTCACAGGACCTCTCAACTACAGAAGGCCTCCTCTCTACAGAGGGCTTCCTCTCTACTGAGGGTCTCTCCCTTTCAGAGTGGTGTGTGGCCGAAATCCATTGAGTTTTTAATTTTGGGTGTAGGTAGGGGCACCAGGAATTAAATTCATGACCATCCCCTTGGAGTTTTCCTGGATCATCCCCTGGTGCTCGCACGGTTGAGACAAAAACGAGTAAGATTCTGGCCTTCAATACGCCTTTTCACGCAACACGATCCAGAAAAACAAAGGTATTAGCTCAGAAGTGTTTGACAGGTGATTTTGAGCATGTAAGACGGCGTCATAACGCATTTAGGTCTTCGGCTTTTGGGGGGGGTCAAATGACCCTCTCAGACCTTTTGGGGGGGGTCATGACCCCGTGGACCCCCCCCAGGATCCGCCACTGGATATGGTACTGCAAGTTAAAGTCCAAAGAAATTTGAAGAGCTGACAATTGACATTAATTCTTTTCCTGCAAGGTTTCCATATTGATATGGAGATCACAGTCACACCATGAAGAAATATTTTTGATGTTAACAGTTGAAAGGGGATTTATCTTCCAGTTTTGACGAAAGACGCTGCTGACTGTCTTTGAAAAAGGATGTCGGCATGAGGTGCAATTGTGCTTGTGAAGTGGTTATAACTGGTCTTTTCACAGTATTAAATTAAATGTGCCATTGCAGCCAAGTGTGTTATCATGTAAGGTAAAATCAAAACTACAATGTTGGTTTTACGAGCATTGAGAAGGCTGGTAGGTAACACCTGCCTGTGCTCGTAAATCATGCTGCCAGAGTATTCTAAATTAATTTTATCATACACTTTTGTTGTCCAGAATGGTTGCACTATTGTTTGGTATCATATTATTCCATGTAAATATGGTAGTGTAAAGTCCGACCAACATGTTACCAGATTTGAAGCTGTTACGTTACCTAAGTACCTGTTTTTTACTGGCGTGGTGAATGTCACCTGGATTTTGTTTTGAGGTGCAGACCTAGTAACTCTGACTACATGGGTTTGAAGCTATTATCTATTCTGTTTTTACTGGCCTGGTGAATGGCGACTCTTGTTGTCCGTGGATGGCACTGAAACAAATTTTGAGTGTTTTGTACAGTGTTTTAATACAATGCTGAGGGCTGAAAGTTGTCTTGTTTAGAGTGGTGAAAGTTCAGGATATGCCAGCCACCATGGTGGGTCAGAGTTAAATGTGTTGCAGTCAGTTCGGCTTCGGCAAGCACACGGATGGGCATACGCATCAAGACCTGCTCTGCCATACTTTCAGCCAATTTTACCTAGGTAAGTCTTTTCTTTTTTCTGCCAAAAGCTATGACATTGTGAATTTCAGCACTGTGGCCTGTGTGTAGCTTTCAGGAAAGCAATTCTAAATAAAGCTCTGATAAAGTGCAAAATCAGCAATGCAGCCCTCTATTACATTTTCTACAACATCTTACTTGTTCCTTGCATGGAGAGAAAAATGCAATGTTATGAATTCGTTTATTCACATAATTTGACAAGCATGCAGTTACCTGCTACTATCACTGCACAAAACAGAGCAGAAAACATCAGTTGATCAAACACAAGACATAACAGAAGTTTACAACATAGGGCTGCCGAACCTGCTTCCTCCCACCACAGTTGATGCCATTTCCTAGCCTGGCTTGATGTGAGCACTGAATAGCTGCTTTGTCTAATTACAGCTCACTACCATTCAACTTAAACTACTCTCTTTAAAGTAAGAGTGAGAGCGTTCAGAGTTCACAGCAGCTCGACAGACGACAGACAACAAACATCTTGACAAACCAACCAGTATTTGATTTGGCTAATGATTTATGTGCTTGTTGTATCATGGCCAAACTACTTTAACAGCAATAATCCCTGTTTCATCTTGATCTTGCTTTTATTTCCATTTGAACTCAGATCTTGAAACAATCATCTGAAGTGATATCAGATACTGGCTTCTGTTTCTCTTGAAAGCAAGTTAAAACAACAATGATAAACTAAGGCAGGAGATGTGAGTTGTGGCAGTAGATTTTTGATTCAACATATGTCAACCTTATATTGCTTGAGACCTCTGTGACAGACAAACAAATATTTATAGTTTTTTGATAGTTTGGATTCTTGGCTTGATTTAGCAGATCAGCTGTGAACCTTGACTTTGAAATCACATAAATGTCATGGTACCCGAACGAATCCTCGCATGACATTTCTTCGTAGCACAATTTTTCGTCCGCATTTCTTCGTCTACAAATCTTCGTCGGTGCATTTATTTGTCCCTCAATGCTTTCTCTTGCATATATTTGCGTTGAAGAAGAAATGCGAGCCGATTTTCATATACCCTGGTGCGAGACAAAGTAATGCGATAGGTACGAATAAATGCCCTGACGAAGATTTGCAGACGAAGAATTGCGATACGAAGAAATGCCATAAGAATTGTCCTGGAATCCTTTATTGGCCATCATATATTGACCTTGATAAGATAAACGCATCATTCGCGCAATATTTGTCGCACTTTGATACCAAACTATTGCTTCCAAATGCCGACGTAAAGAAAGCCTTTATGTGACGTCATAGAAACAGCGGATTTCCCAAAAAGTAAACAAAAATAAAAGTCTTATATCTCGAAAACGGGTGAATATTTTCCGGTAAAATTTGGTAGATGTTCATTTTCGCTCTTTGTGATTCACGCTACATCACTTTTATTCCAATTCATTAACTTTTTTGAAGGTGGGAGGGTCCCTTTAAGCATTCCCGAGAACGGAGAAAATGCTAAACGAATGCTTGTTACGCTTCCACGTGTAACAGAGCTGGCATAACCCATTTATTTTTCCGTTTAAGTTACTGTCCAATGCACGTGCGTTGCTAGAAACACCAAGCTGCGGGTGGATTTAGCTGACGGTGGTCTTGGAAACGCTCTGTTCTTCGCGGCAGACGCCACGCGTGCCACAGTTAAAGGGACCCTCCCACCTTCAAAAAAGTTAATGAATTGGCATGAAAGTGATGTCCCTTGGTTCAGAAAGAGCGAAAACGAATATCTACCAAATTTCACCGAAAAATATTCACTGGTTTTCAAGATATTAGGCTTTTACTGTTGTTTACTTTTTGGGATCTCCCCTGTTACTAGCGACTTTATTTGGAAGCAATAATTTGGCAGCCCTAAAGTGCGGCAGACGTTGCGCGCAAAGCAGCGTATACCACCACGTGTTAACGATGGTTTTAGTCTAAGATTTAAAAATCGTTAGATCTCCGCTGACGTCACAAATTCTAAGGGGGCATTCCAATGCATTAGCCCCTTAGAATCCGAAAACTGCAAGTTTGAAATTCCATATCTTCGAATTAAAGCATTTTTCGATGTTGTGAGTGTCCAAACCGGTATTTGCAGGTCATGGCCACCAATTTGGCTATCTCAACTCAAAACTAATGTTAAGGTGGGAGGGTCCCTTTAAACGACTGCAGATTTGAGTGCAGCTAGGCTGTTCTCTGTTATCGGTCTAGCATCTGCTTATCTCGCTAAACTCGCTTTCGTTCCGGAAACGAATCTTCTCAGGACAAATTATACGCATGCTGCTTAGGGAACAGCAATAACTGCAGTACCTACCTTGTTACATTATTCGACGGTAAACAAAACACTGTGCTTGTGCAAGCAACTTATATGCTGAACACCGTACCGAACATTTACGTATTTCCCGAATAAACCCAACTATGCTGCTGAAGTAAATATTTGAACTTCGATATTTCGATGTTAAAGCTACAATATGTTCAGATGCTTTATATTTCTCTCGTATATTGTTTTATGTTTATATTACAGATGCTTTTCATTGTTACAACAAAAATATATTTCTATTTTACTGCAAACTTCAACTTAACCCTCACCCGGCGAGGGGGGTTGATGCAACCCCCCCCCCCTAAGGTTTTTCGCAAATAACGTAAAAACGGCGGCGGTAGCGCCGCCAAATTTGGCATAACCTCTAGAGCAACCTTTTTGCACCAATCCTGAAAATTTGAAGTCCCAGTCTTTTTAGGTCAAGTCACCAGGTCACAAAAACCGGTAAGAGGTCAGGGGCTCCGTGTCATGATTCGCGGTAAACCCCTAATCAGTTGCTTTCCTTAGTTATTTTTCAAAAGATTTGCTGCACAAAAATGTACAATAGTTTTTGTTCAGAATTATCCCTCCCCAGGCGAGGGCCTTTTCCATAACACGGACGGCGAGGGGGGGGGGGGTTGGTACGACCCCCCCTGGCGATTGGCTCCTATGGCACTTAGAAACGCCAAATTTACAGGGTAGGTGGGTCCATAGGGGATCTCGCCTCTGTGAAAGTTTGGTGACTCCAAGTCAATATTTAGGGGGGTTTTGGAGGGGTATGAGTGCAAAAACTTTGGTAAAACATGTCAAATGTTTTTCGCGTATAACTTCTTACCTAGTAAGGATAGAGCGAAAATAAAAGCACTAGTGAACTCAGGACGTCCATGCGCTGACTTACCTCAGTAGCTAGTCTTACCTTGACTTCAATGCATGGTCCAAAAGAAAGTCTGTTTTGCAGCGCTGATTGGAACATTTCCGCACGGGACATGCCTTCCCTATCTCAGCAGCTAGCCGGATGAGTTGACATGTGAAACCTTGTCTGTTAGCGTGAGAGGTACAGCTCACTTTTATATGTGCATCTGAAGTGCTAGAGCATTAGCAATGTACATGATTTTTCGTCATCCTATCGTGATTGATGAACACGAACCTGGGACGTCTGGGCTCCTACCGTTCGGATTCATTACAGCGGAACCATGACCTGTGGCTCACGAGCACTGGGTCCGAGTCCACGGCCTCACGAGTCGCCCTCTCAGCTCGGCAGTGTCCCTTCCTCATTGAGCGCGATAAAAAGCGTCAGTACCCCGAACCGATCGGTCGGGCCGGTCGCCTACGCTCCCACGGCCGGGTGCCGCGGTCGCCCTGGATGGGCCATCACCTGGCACACGGCCGGCGCGGCGGGTCTGCGGGTCTGCTGCCCGAGACCGGCCGCCCCAGAGCAGCGGCCGCCGGGCGCGCCGGGCGGCCACAGTGGAGCACCGACGGAGCACCTGGCCGCACGCGGCGCAGAGCACGGCGGTCGACGGTCGCGGTCAGCCACAGCGACGGCAGGTCCTGCCGCGGACAGAACAGCGACGCGTGGGGACATCGCTGGTGATCGGTGACTAGACTAAACACCCAAACAGATCGATTGTGGTGTCAGTGGTGAAACGGCTGCTTATCCCAAACGGTGGCTGTTTGTGTTTACACAGGCGGTGCCAGCGTAAAAGAGAAACACGTCAAAGTGAAGTGGTGCTGTAAGAGGTGTTTTGACACCCCAAACATCTACAGAAGGAGCCTACCCGGTATCAGGCTGGGGCACAACACCGTATCGGTGTAGCCGTCACAGTTTGTCATAGCAGAAGGCGACAATTCATCCCATTCTGAGGACTTCACTCAACCAAAACAAACCGCACATCGCATCCTATCCCATACTTTTCCATATCACCCACCGCCTCCGCCACTCGCTTGTATCACTCGCCCGCCTGTCTATCCCGCCTGCCCCGCCCGCCTGTCCATCCCGCCTGTCCATCCCGCCTGTCCCGCCCGCCTGCGTCGCCGCCTGCGCCGGTCGTCGGGGCGATGACAGCGGTGACAGCATGAGGGGTCGGCTGGTGCTCGAGCAGCTGATGCGACTGTTCATCATCGTCGTCTGCCTGACGCTGATGGTTCCCGCTGACGCCATCTGGTGGTGAGTATTCGCATATCGTCGGCAGCGACGGACGCGACGGACGCGACGCACCATCTATTATCGAAATGGATGATGCGTGCTGTGACTCGCCGCCAGACAGTATCGCGTGATTTTGCGTGACGATCGCGCGTGAGACGGACGGATGTAGGTTGAACAAGACGCTTTTTTGTTGCAGGAATGTCAGTAATTGTTACTTGCGATGATTTTTTTTCGCGATAGCCGCACTTAATATTCTGATATGTGATTTAGCCCGGCATTCCTGTATATGACCTAGTGTTCAGTTGACTACCACAGTTCTTTTCATAGCATGACTTTGAATACAAAAAAGAACGTTTCGACACAAATGCCGAAATGTGAAGAATAAACAAGGCGGATCAGCTTACGTTGCGGCAAAGCTTACGATAATACAATTCTTGACTTCTCACGATAAATTTTGGCATCATTTAACTCCCTAACATTTTCAAATCATTGTCAACGCATTACTTTATCTTTGGGTGTTTCGAATATACTACAGCAAAACAAGACACGGTGATTTGTTTACACGTTCACTGCTCTGAAAAAGTTTCATTCTTGGCCAATAAGTTTTACATCTTTCCCTCGTTTGGTGACACAGTTGCCATGGAACAAAAGCCAAGGGCAAGCTGGTTCATAAGAAACGCAGCATCCTCTTTTGGCGAAGATCCGACGTGGTCAGTTAAATCCATGTATATCACCGTGATCTTTATCCTCGACTCTACTTCATCAAAACCAAGCCAAAGTCGGAACGATTACTAATCTGCCAAACTAAGCATAACGACCGACATATGGTACGACAGCTCAAATACAACCGCCCGCATCGGTTGTAAATCTTATAACTTATTAGAAAGTCTGCAAATTGTGTGGGGTCTAATTTCAAAATTAGTATAGGTATTGAGGGATGACTCAAGACCGTGTGTTCACTTCGGCCACAAATGTTTTGCGACCGCACGAAATACATCAAAATCTGAGAAAGTCTGCAGAGGGATACACATTTAGCAATCAACACACAAGTGCAATCATACATGGGCAGAGTGTTTATTTCCCGCTCCTGTTAACTGGGCTTTATGAGCAGCAAGCACTACAAATTAGATTCCATGTCGTTTGCGACATTCGACATTTTGAGCTGTTATAAAATGTCTGCGCAGTACGCACGACATAATTACAAAGTAAACGAGTGTGTGCAATGGCGCAGATAACGGAAATCTTGCCACATATAATGCTCCGCTTTATGTGTATAACAGTTTTGTACTTTGATAACAATAACACACAATTAAATGAAATGTCAAATATAGACCTTTTAAAAAATTCACTTGGATACGCCGAACACACAATCGAGGATGATAAGCCTCCGATACGTACAAAACTCATTCGGTTATTGTCGTAAAGTCTTCGGTTAATTACCGCACGCTCTGCCGCTGATCGTAACATCGGCTGTGCAATACAACTGTCGCGAATTACTTTGACATTTCCGATGATACGAACGAGTACGTTACGTTAGATCGTTTAAATCGATGTGTTAAAACGAGCGAATCGAAACGTATTTACCGGATCACTTCATAATGTATTCACACTCGCCAAATTCTATCGACCTCATTTTCCAAAACTATCATTTTTACGCACATTCGTTGACCTCGGCACGTGACCTATAACAAATTCTGGCATAGGCTCGTGCGCCCATTTTCGGGGAGCCACAGAGTCGGCGACAACAACTAATGCTTTGATGTAGCCCAAGACCCTAGAGCATCAAAGTGCCCACATTTGTGTGCACAATTCAAATGTTCAACATATTTTTGTTGAATCATTGGCACGCAATGCCGTTTTCTAAAGCATGCGGCCTCCATACAGTTATCGATAGCATACCATTGGAGACGAGACGTACACCACAATACTGCTATTTCTGTGCGTGACCAGACTAAATCGTCTGATCACAATGCATTATAGTATTCTGTGAAGGCCTTGGTTGAATCCTTCGCGTGCTCGTTGATCCACTTTGGCGTATCAATCTCCCGAGGTGCCACGTTAGTCCGAAATGACGGCTACTTTGTAGGAAGAATCGGCGCCGCTTAGTGAAGTGCAGTAACTTTTGGCCGAAGAATGTGATCGTCTTTCGATTGGTGCGCTATAACTGAACTTTTCAGGAAGGAAGGAAGTACCAATATTCGTAAAACTATTTCATTTCAGCTCATGTGATCATCTTTTATCATGTTTGTCTTCAAGATCATTTCACACCAGAAGTTTTTTTAGCCTCCAAAAATGATAAAAAGACACCATCAAGCCCTTAGGTAACCGTTTGCTTCAATCGGAGTCGGAAACAGCGTTTACCGGACTGCTTTTTCGATGAAGATCGGTCTCATGGTCCAGACTGCAGGTGCAGCTAATCATGGTACGAATCAAGATAAGCTGCAATCGTTTTCAAAAAAATGACGTCAAGGATGGTTGGTGAAAACAGTATCCACCCATTAAAAAAAATGAGCGGATGTCAACAAGCAACGAAATCAGCCCCATCGCCAAGACGGATACCTATCGCGTAGCGTGCAGAGTGAGTTGCTTGTCTAGTAAAGTAATCTTGGTCCAAACTGCCTGCATGAAAACGGTTTGGCTGAGTGGTATGTATACACCCTCCCAAATAAGACCCATTTAACTGAAAATCCAGGAATGTAAAAGAAGAAATGTATTTTGATGGCTCTCATCATAGTAGCAAAATGCCTATTTAGTATTTACATGTATTTATTGAATTGTTTTTACGTTATATTCTTGTGCAAAATTAGGTATCCATTTGGAACTACATATTGTGGGGCATTGTTCTTACCTCTCCGCCGGGAATTCCCAGCTTCCTGCGGTCCTGTGGGATGCATCTGCAGAGCTTCATGTGTAGAACTGCCAGATGGAGTGCAGATCTTGATGGGCACCCCCTGTCAATCAATAAGTGCCCACAAGTTTGAACCGCGCCCGGAATCCGTGTGTGATATTCCCAACCGCAATCCACTGTGTTCTTTCCACGAGCAGATTGGCCGACCCAGGCTGTTGGAATTTTCTCAATGCTGCCACCGGCTTGACACGATAAAAGTGACAGATCTTTGGCAAAATTCGCGGCATTTCTGCCAATGCCCGGATCGGTTTTATATATTGCTCTCCGCTGCAGCTGGAATAGGGACGGATATTTGTGGTCGAGCCGTTTGCGAAGCTGCTGCTGAAGGACGAATGTTTGGAAAATAGGAGACACAGCAAGTGTCACTAAAGTATACCAGCAGCTTTTTTCAGATAAAGCGTAGTCGCACCGTGTATATGTGGTTTAAATGAGATATAAGTTTGTGTTCATTGATTATTACTACAGCATGCAAAACGCCAATGACCTGGGACAGGCGCAGTCAAGTAAACGACATTTCAAAGATACCGAATACACTTCCCTCAACTGAGGATAAAATGAAACTATCATCAAAAGCACGACAAAAGAAACAAATTATCTGCAAAATTGACTGCCTGTTCACCACACATACCGTCTTTTACGACTTGTACTCTGAACGACTGAAATCACAAATGCACAAACGTAAGAAACACGCACCAACGTTGTTGACACGCGCGAAAAAGGTAGGTACTGAAAGCTGACTAGCACCATAGCCAACATAATTTTGAAAAGGTGTCACTTAACACCAGCAGTACATGATAGTTTGCTGAGAAACGGGCAGATTATGAAGTTATCTCCACCAAATAATTTTTTAGAAGCGCGTCCTAACGAGGTATGTCGAACGCTGACAGCAGCAGAAACATGCAAAACTGCGCATGTTTCTGCTCCTGGCGACCGTCTCGGTTAGAACGGTGGCTCGGGCCGTGTAAGTTGGGTCTGTGGTGCGTGATCATCAGCCACTCTGTCGTGTACTGCGACCACTAATCAGAAACACTACTTTCGAGCAGGTAACTTGTTCAACAGCAAAATATTGGGCTACCTTAACATGCTTGAGGCTCGTTTTTTATTGTCTAGACGCTAGACAATGGCCACGATGGTCTAGATAGCAGGATTATTAAAAAGAAACGATATTCATGTTTCGTAAATGAGCCCGCTTCCAAAAACAAATTAATAGCAGCAATATATGATGCATCAAATCATTCATAAATGAACGGCTTTATTTTGTGCATGCGTGGTATAGTTACTTGTTAACGAACGAAGATTATTTCTGTATTGGCGCCTAATTGTGTTAAGTCATTCATGTATCCGCATGTAAACTGATGCCATGACATTCGTATGCAAATTGTTTTGATGGAAATGGCAATCATGAATATTTGAGAGCATATGAATATGGAGTATGGGTAGGCAGAGAATGAGTTATGACGCATTTTACTAGGTCGGACTGGTCAGAGATGGACCATTCACCTTTGTGCTCGAACCATATAACCAGACCTGACACCTGTGCTTTATGTTAAGCGCAGCATTATAATTAGGCTACATAATTGCCAAACATTACGCATTCTCGTTATGATTAGGTGTCTTAATGTATGACTTAAGAGTCATGTTACCTTTTCCTCAAGTTATAATGAATATGAAATAATATTTTCGGAGTTTCTTGAGTGATATATATTGAAAAATTGATAGCAAATATTTCGATACTCGTAGTGGTACCTTTTTCAATGCGAGGTACCACGCATTGAATTGGTACCACTACACTGAAAAAAATAATGACACCTAAAAGGGGTGTTTTTTGAAGCGTACCAAAAACGCGCAGTTTTCTGGAGTCCGATTACACCCGGAATCAGACACTTTCTAGGGTATTATGACACTGGTTGAGGGTGTATTTTTACACCGTACGTCGTCAAATGATTCCCGGAATCATACGCCTTATGGAATAAAAATACACCCCAAATCAGAGTCATAATACTCTAGGAAGTGTCTAAAGTGTCTGATTCCGGGTGTAATCTGACTCCTGGAAACTGCGCGTTTTTGGTACGCTTCAAAAAACACCCCTTTTAGGTGTCACTTCAGGGAGTAA